TGGTCTTTTCTCTTTCTTCCGGTAGCTTCACACTTAAAGGGGAAGGGAGTGATTCATGGAGACAAAAGGAGACCTCCTCCATGTGAAGCCCATGTGGCTTCCATTGATAATATTCCACAGGTCCTACTAAATATCTTTACATCACTTTAAATATATTTTAATGTCTATATATCCCTGACTTTGTCTTGAATAATTTATCTGTTTTATATATTGGGTCAGACTGAATTAGACTTACTTATACTGTTCAAATAATATTAGATTAGGTAATTTCCCAACCCATCAAATAGTAACGTAAGATGATTAATATGGAGAGTGTGTCAATGGTGTAGTTTTAAAACACATGGACCTCACTCTCTATAATAAGGGTGTTTTGTGTGCTAATATTTATTCTTTATTGGCCTATTGATGATTATTAATTTTCTACTTATACTCTGCTTATTGAAATATTTTTTTCTATAAATGATCTATTTGAAAATATTCATAAAAGATTATGGACAACTTTATACGGAGTATTTGATTTGGTCAAAAGGAAGAAAAAAATAGTATTAAAAATAAATAGACCTACTTAATTTTTTAAATTTATAAGCAGTTTATAAGTTAATATATAATTACAGAAAAACATTTAATTAACTATTTAGTACATTAAAAAATATAAAGAGTGTTAACCAATTTATAAGTGACAAATTCTTCCGTAGACCTAAGATCGATGTTCATTTTATGAACCTCAGTGTATTTGTAGGATAAAAGAAGCGAGCCTTTTGCAAAAAAAATTACGATGCAAGCCCATAAAAATGTAAGAAAGTCTACATTTTAAATTAGATTTTGAGACAATGTAAGCATCACTCTTTATAAGTATAAAGAAAAAATATTAAAGATAAATGTCCCGGGCTTGGATCCTCTATCCTTCCTCTCTGTCCCACCATTCACATTCTGTACATAACCACCCCACCTCTAAACTCATCTTTGATTCTTAGAAGGGTGGTGGGATATGAGACATATACATATAGGTGGGTGGGTTTAGAGATGAGAGTGGGTTGTGTGTCAGAATTTGAATGGTGGGACAAGAAGATGGGACACGAAGAGCGGACAGAGGATCCCACCCCAAAGTGTCCTAAGTTTGAGCTCTTAAATTAAGAAAGGGATATGCTAGGGTACACCAAATGTGTACCCCAAATGTACACCACTCCCCTTTCTACCATTCATTTTATTTTATTTTTATTTTTTATTTTTTGATTTTTTTGCTTTTTTTGTGATGATGGAGGGGGTGGGGATGTTTGGGGTACACTTTTGGTGTACCCCTAGCATTTTCCATTAAGAAATGCTCAAAAGTCAAAACTTACTCGGTAGGCCATAATTCCGGTTAATAAATCAACAGAAAATTACTTCAGGGCACCTTAAATTTTCTAGTAATGACTTTCAAGTCTCACAATATCTGAAATATACTTCAAGGTATCCTTAATTTTCTAATAAGAACTTTTAGTTCCTACATTATCCGAAATATACTCTTGTGAACTTAAATTTTGTGATATTATACTTTGAAACTACATTTCGTCTATTTACATGTTAGGATTAAAATTCTTTTACTTTGAGAAACTAAATAATTGTATTTAAATTTAATAAAATAATTTCTGTATGGTAAAATTTTATACTCCGTATTTGTCAAAGTACCAAAACTTTTAGTGCTAAGGGTTAAATAGACAAAATGCACCTAAAAAGTAGATTACCTCTAATTTTTGTTAGGCCTCATAGGTCCTACTAAAAAATCAAGAGTATCCTGAAATATATTTCAAATAATATAGAATCTTTGAACTATGACTAGAAAATTGAGAATATGAGTGTGATTTTGTGATAAATCAAGGTGAAGCTTCAACCCTTATATTTACCTACCAAGCATCCGGAGTAATTAAAGTCTTGCATCGGAATTACCCCATCGTAGTATGGCCCAAATCATGCCCGCGTTCTTCAAGGTTCTGATCGACGACTTCGCCACTCACCTCGTAAGCTCCTCCGATCTCCTTTCTCTTCTTCGCCTTTCCTTCCTTTTTTTTCTTTCTTTCTTCTAAAAGTCTGAAAAAATTCCCCCCCACCAGAAGTAATTCCAATTTTGTCTCTCTTCGAAGAGGTTGCCGCCGTATTTCATCTATAAATTCGGGAAGCTGCTGCCGGAATGCCCGATTCTGAGGGTCCGATGCGGCGGAAGCGAGGGAGAGTGGCGCGTGAAGGTGGACGAAGTTGCGGCGGAGGGGCGGTGCTTCACCGACGGGTGGCCGGAGTTCGTGACGGATCTGGGTCTGGGGCGCCATGATTTTCTGGTATTTTGGCTGGAATCCCAACCCAAATTCTTGGTTGAGGTTTACAATGAAGATGGGACTGCCAAGATCTTGAATCATCTGCCCACAGCAGCCCAAGGTACAATTTTTTTCTGCATGGAAAATCCCTTTTGCTTGTTTATTCAATTAGTTAAATTTAGAATATTTAAGTGGTTTGAATACACCAACAAAGATTGTATAATTATGGCATTGTTTGAGAATAGTGTTTATGACTTAAATTGCCTAGTAGTACAAGAAGAGTAAAAAAAATAGCCAGAGACCAAAGATTTGCTTTGAAAATTGGGACATGTTTTTTGTTTTGTTTTGGAAATTGATGTGATTTATGAATTTACCCAAGATGGGTATAAGTGAACTAGTTAGGGAATGCTTTAGTTACTCATTTTGCTTGCTTTCTTGAAAAGGTAAAGTTTCCCTAAAGAAGGAAGACGCCTTAGAGGATGATGTGAAGTCATCACCACCGATCGTTGATGTCAGCAGGAAGAGGAAGAAGACGTTGTCATTTTCTATCAAAATGAAACCTTCCAACAGATACAGAGTGGTAGCCTCCCTTTTTATCTTTTCTATATTCATACCCGATGTTATTCTGCTTGTTTTTCTCCGGGCATTTTTTTAAATGGATATATTCGGATTATCAGACAATGCCATCCAACTTCTTGAGGGAGACGGGAATGATGGGAACTAGGTGTCTCGTGCTGGAGGATCCGCGGGGACGAGAATGGCCCGTGTTGATGTCTACCCATGGCCCGAGGAGCACGAATAGGACAGATATGGGAAGGGGGTGGAACGAATTCAGAATTAAAAATGGCCTACTCGACGGGGACACTTGCACCTTCAGCTACACCGGCGGGGATGAAGAAGGTGAAAACGGCAGCAGTGGCTGGTTGCTCCAAGTTGATGTGACGAGAGCAAGCCCTAAAATGGAGGGTTGTGGCTCCTCTCTTAGACAAACAAGAAGCAAGGCTAGTCACTAGTTACCCTATAACTCTATTAGGTACATTAGTTATTAGGTATGTAGCAATAAGGGAATGTGCTTTGCATCTTGTGGTCTATGTTTTCTCTTGTTTAGGCCATTACCCAATCTTAGAACTCATTTTGTTTTAGTTCTTCTTTTAAGGTCCCTTGTGTCAACTAAGGTGCCAATTCAATGTTTTGTCATAGAAACTAACTTGAATTACATTTTGTACCTTCAAGACTAATATAATTGAAATCAACTTAGTGAAATGCGAGGTAGTTTGAAAGATGTAGTGGGTGTTTAACTATGATGAAAAATTTTATTCACTACCTCGAAAAAAGCTTTTCTCGTATCATGAAAAATTCTATTTATTTTAAATTGGTTTTATTAAAAAAATAGCATAAAAATAAAAAAACAGAATTTACATATTTAAAAATTAGATTAAAAGTTATAGACAAACAAGTTGTGGTAAGAATGTTTTATTTTACCCCGCATTTAATGACCAATAAAAAAAGCTCATGCAAACAAAAGTTATTGAAAACTTGGAGGAGTTGTGCTTCCATGACCTTAATAAGGTATACATGTAAAATGAAGACCTTCACACACTTTGAGTTAGCCGAAATGGAAGTCTTATTTTTTTCAAAATGCCCATTGATCTACTAGTGTTTATATACTAAGGGGCTGTTTGGCAACTTCTGAATAGGTAAATGCTGAACTAGTAAGAGGTCTGAACCATTAAGTGTTGAACCAGTAAGATGTCTGAATCATTAAGAGCTAGTATATTGCTTAACTATTCAGAGGCAAATGTCTGATCATTCAGAGGCTGAAACAAACAGTTTGAATCATTAAGTGCTGAACTTTTCAGACATCTGAATCATTAAGAGGCTGAAGAAATGTGAGGCGACTCCATTGTCATTTTCATTGTCTCTATTTCATGTACAATTAACAGCAGTCTCTTGTTTCATAGTGTTTCCGTTGCTGCACACAATGTTCTTGTCTTAGTTCACTACTTTAACAGTTTAACCTAGTCATTGATGTCTTCACTCTCCTTGCTATCCAGTGCATATTGAGTTCATCTAGCAAAATCTATGCAAAGTTAGATTTTTTTTAGTTATTTTCCTGTATTAATGTAAATAAATTATAAATTTAATTATTTATTTCAGATCTCATTCGGATTGGAATACTATTTTTATGAATTTTTAAAACTTATTATATGGAGCATTATATCAATCTTTGAAAACTCACCAAATGGACCCTAATTTTATTTTTTTCAGAGTCTAAACATACAACTCACTAAAGCTTTTCTATATTTTAAAAAAATTTCAAGTACCTACTTTAAGGTCATAGATATTCTTTCAAATTTGTATATTGATCCAGTTTAACTCTCTTGAATCAAACATGACGAACTTTTAATCATCAATGACTTCTAAGTTATAGTATATTAAAAAATAAATTAAAAATTTAAAAGTCCTCAACGAAATAAATTTAATGAAATACTATAAAGTTCATTTAATTTAATCTATAAAAATTAATTAAAAAATCAAAAAAAATTACTAAAAGATGTAAATACTTCCCACCGTCCCAGAAAGAATGCCACGGTTATTGTTTTGGCCTCTCGATAACTTTTGTTTGTTTACTCGTTTTGGTTGACCATTTGATAAAATAAAATATTCTTGTCGCATCTTGTATTGTAGAACTTTTCATATACTTTTGAATGATATAATTTTTACTTTTTATTACTCTATCAATTTGAAAATATAATAATTTTAAAATAGATGATATTTTGCACGTCGTTCAAAATATTACGAATAATTTGGGAGAGAGGGAGTACTCTATTGCCATCTCTATTAAAGATCTCAAATTGAGGATAAGACCTAAAATAGTACTCCGTAATATGGGCCAAAGCAAGCCTACCTTCTTCAAGGGTCGGATGCGGCGGCAGCGAGGGAGAGTGGCGCGTGAAGGTGGACGAAGTTGCGTCGGAGGGGCGGTGCTTCACCGACGGGTGGCCGGAATTCTTGAGGGATCTGGGTCTGGGGCGCCATGATTTTCTGGTGTTTTGGTTGGAATCCCAATCCAAATTCTTGGTTGAAGTTTATAATGAAGACGGGACAGCGAAGATCCTGGATCATCTTCCCACTCTAGGTACAATTAGTTTAAACCATGTTTGGTAAATGAATCTGGAAAAAAAAAGAAAAAAAATGTTTTTCTCTACTTTTCTTGATGAAAATTGATTTTTCCTACTTAGCAGATTATGTCGTCTTTCTTTTTTTTTTTTTCACTAACCAAACAAAAGAAAATGGTTTTATTCATATGGAGACTCGAAATATTTACTTTTCTTTTTCCTGCCAAAATTCACGAACCAAACACAATGTAAAAGAACATTCTTTTTGCGCATATTTAAGTACACCCTAATTTTATAGAGATATATACGATGCAATTAGATTCGCTTTAAAAATCAAATGAATAATGCTGGGGATACACAAAGTTCCACACGATGACACGGACTTGCGCCTCACACATTTCTTATTCACTATTTAGTTTTTCTATCAATACCAACCAAGAAATATGGCAAGGGGAGGATTGGTGTGCAAATATTTTTTGAAGAATTAATTATTGAAAATACCTTCTGGGACCCCAAGGTGTGCGCACCAAGTGTACACAGGAAAATACAGACAGTGACACTCAACGTTTGTGACGTGTTTCCCTTGGTGTACACTTGGTGTCCACACCTTATGGTACCTTAGCACTACCCATTTGATTTGTTTTCTTTGGTCCAAAATGTGTTGAGAAACAAGACCCTTACTCCTTTTGTCTTAGAATACTTGTCCAGCATTGACTTTTTGGATTCAACCAAAATCAACTTTCAATCAATAATTAAATAAAAAGTATATGGTATATTAATTAGATAACATTATCTTTGAAAATATTTTACAAGATGAATATATAACAATATTTTTGTAACAATATTTAGTATCAATTTATATTTAATTTATGGTTAAAATTTTATAATTTTGACTACAAGAGTTCAAAATTAGACAAACACTTAGTATTACATATGGTACAAATGGAGTAAAAATGTAGAAGCCTTATTGGCATCGCAAGAATGAATGAACTCTACCACAACATATGTTCCAAAGATGAGCTTACATTGATATGCAATTAAAACACAGAACCTTACATTCGAAACTCCTTAAAAGTTTTGGTGTGTGATAACTGATAATGCAAAAAATGTATTGAAACATTCCTAAAAACTAGAGGTTGTTTCCTCTGAACATGTGTTGCATTCATGCATTATTGCCAGAAGTTAATAGAAAGTAAAAGTATGAGAAGTTTAACATGTCTTTTTTGGTTTAGTATATTAATTACCCAAAGCTAAAACATTGAAAAAAGGGGGTCTTTTGAAAACGAGTTGCACCTTGTTTGCTAAGGGGCTGTTTGGCAACTTCTGAATGGGTAAGTGCTGAATCAGTAAGAGGTCTGAACCATTAAGTGCTGAACCAGTAAGAGGTCTGAACCATTAAGAGCTAGTATATTGCTTAACTATTCAGAGGCAAATGTCTGATCAATTCAGATAAGAGGTATTAACCATTCAGACTCTGTATAATACTTAACCATTCAGAAGCAAATCTCTTAACCATTCAGACTTCTGAACCATTAAGAGGCTGAAACAAACAGTCTGAACCATTAAGTGTTGAACCATTCAGACATCTGAACCATTAAGAGACTGAAACAAACAACCCCTAAATGCTAGATTTGTCAAATATTTTTGGAACTAGACCTAGCTAAATCTCCAAAGCAAATGTTTTGTAAATGTTAGTTTAAGGTGACAGGTATGACTAAGTTTTGTGAATAAATTCCATCTTCTACCGTCTATAAACATAATATGTACTAATGTATTACTCCGTAATTTATAATGGTATAAAGGAATAACAATTACATCCAAATTATCATATTATTTCAATAATGTAACTCCATTGTATATTAAACTTGCTATTTTACCATAAAGAGAGCTCACCCCGTCCCAATTTAAGTATGTGTTCTCCTTTGAATGCTATGGAAGACTAGTTATTGAGTTTGGTTGTTTCTTGAAAGGTAAAGTTTCCCAAAAGAAGAAAGATGCATGTGAGTTTGATATGGTGACATCATCATCATCAAGTGCTGTCATCCAGAGGAAGACATTGTCATTTTCTGTCAAAATTAAACCCGCCAACAATCATCAAGATTACTTCTTTTTTTTAATTGTGTTATTTGTGTCGGATTTTTGCATAAACCGTTCTGTGTTTCATTAATCACAATCAGGTATATATATACAAGTACAAAGATGAGCTTAAGACCAAGTCCAACACACACGCTATTTAGCCCCAAAAGATGTACTAAATCTATTTACCAAAAATACCTGTTAATACTTATCCTCAAGTTAGGGCATATATGTCATGAATGCCCAACTTGGATAACAAAAATTCAAAAATAGGTTTAGACAAAGCTTTTGTAATGCCAGCTGATAACATGCAGGAACATAACGAGTAGACACCTTACCTCCCTGAACAAATGCATGAACTGTACGACAATCAACATCATATGCTTCATACGCTCATGAAATACTAGATTTGTCGCAATACATAGATTGATTATTGCAATACAAACTTTGGGGGTACAAATTTGGCACACCAAGAGCACTAAGAATACCTTGCATCCATCTGATCTCCACCCACACATTCGACATAGCTCTATACTCGGCTCTAAGAACAATTTAGAAATTGTAGTATGGTTCTTGGTCTTCCATGAAATAGAGGTACCCAGCATAATAAAATACCCGCTAACAGAGCAATAGACAAAGGACAACTGGCCAATAAGAATCAAAATATGCAGTAATTTCAAGATTACTGTCGGTGTGCAACAAAATACCTTGGCCTGGATGGCCCTTAATATAGCGGAGAACACGCATAGCAGCAACCTTATGATCAACAATCGGTGCCTGAAGAAATTAGGACATCACATGGACAGAATATGATAAATTAGGTATGGAAATAATCAGATAGATAAGACGACCCACTAGTCGTCTATACCGTGAGGGATCATGTAAGGGAGTCTCAGTCAACGTGGATAGTCCGTAAGTTGGCTAAAGAGGAGTGGCACAACACTTGCAACCCAATAGTCCAGCTTCATGCAAAATATCCAACAGGTACTTGCATTGGCATAAAACCATCCAGAAGAAGAACGAGCACAGTCAATGCCAAAAGAATACTTCACCGTGCCAAAGTCCTTCAAAAGAAAACAACATTTTAAGCATTATTTAAAAGAGGCACACATAGTCGGATTATTCTCTGCAACCAAGATAACATTAACATCGACCATGACTGTCAGAATATCATGCTCGTGTCGCAAAATAAAGAGAGTAAGATCCTTATGAGCTTGTTTGTACCTCTACTTGCGAGAGCAATACTCATTTTAGGAAACCAATTACGAGGAGGTCGTGTCAATCCATAAAGAAACTTGGGCAACTTACATACCATCCCTGGGATAGTTTGAGAATATCTAGGAGGTATTCACATATAACCCCCTAATTAAGATCACCATTTAAAATTGTCTTATTCACATCAAGCTAGTGAATCACCTAACCTCGTGCTACAACAACATATAACAATATATGTACCGTTCCCATCTTGGACACAAGAGCAAAATTATTAGTGTAATCAATGTCATACTCTTCATGGTTGCCGAAGACAAGAAGATTAGTTTATCATGCTCTTTAGTACCATATGATTAAAATTTGGTGCGATACACCCACTGACAACTCAAGGCCTTCTTATCAAGAGGAAGGTCGATAATCTCCCATGTCGGATTATTCTCCGGGACTATAATTTCTTGTTGCATAGCCAAGCGCAAATTGTCATGTTGTATGGCCTCTTTAAAATTACGGGGCACCTTAGTAGAAGAAACAGTTGCTAGAAAATCACGGTACTTGTTATGTAATTCTTCATAATGAACAAAATTAGTGATAGGATAACGCGTACCTGAAGAACGAGATGAGCCAAGCGAATGAGCAGCTAAGTCCATGATTTGGGGTGTGTGACATATGTAATCAGAAAAATTAGAGGGGGGCTGGCAATCACGAATAGGCCGAGGGGAGGGGGAGTCGATGGTGAACTGTACATGCTAGTAGTATAAGCTGATGCGTTGGTTGGCCAGGGGGGAGTGACATGTTGAGGGCTGGGGTAGGGACAAGTAGATCTGTAGGCAATTCAACATGAAAATCGGCACAAGTGGGATTATTTGGAATGGCCTGATAACAAAGGGAAACAAAAACTCATTAAATGAATTATCACGACTATGAAAGAAATGATGAGACTCAAGGTCATAGACATGACACCCTTTTCTACTCGTAGGATAACCAAACAAATATATAGTTGATATTGCGAGGGTGAAATTTATTTTGTGAATGCTAAATATCCCAAACATAACACAGACATCCAAAGACACGTAGATGAGATAAATCAAGAGCTTTGAAGGTAAGTATTTCATTTGGGGACTTACCCTCCAAAAGTGGCGTATGATAATGATTGATTTGATAAATCGCGGTACAAACACATTCTCTCTAGAAATCAATTGGAAGTGAAGCCTGAAACATAAGAGATTGAGCACATTGAGAATATGATAGTGTTTACGTTCAACACGAACATTTTGTTGAGGGGTACTGACACAAGAAGTTTGAATATGAACACCCATGGTTTTGTAAAATTCACGTAAAGGTTTGTCCAAAAATTCCGTACCATTGTGAAATTGCACAACCTTAATTAGTTTATCAAACCGGGTTTGAATCGTGGCAAAGAATCGTTTCAAACAACTTGTTACCTTGAAAGTCCCAAACAGCTCTAGAGTGATCCTCAACAATGGTTAAAAAATAATGAGTGCCGGTAGACAAACAAGCTGTATAAGGACCCCACAGGTCACAATGAATTAAATCAAATAATGCGTCTGCTTTATTGGTGCTAGAGGAAAAAGTCGATTGAATCTTTTTGGAATAAAAAGAAATATAACAAGATTTTACTCCTTCCGTCCCCGAAAGATGTTCCCTTATCGACTTTTTGAAAAATTAAGAGACAGATATTTTGGTGTTGACTTTCAAAAAATAACCTTGATGTAATGGATAAAAGTAAGATGTGATAGATAAATAATTAGTAAAAGGGTATGATGTGATAAGTAGGGTATGAAAAAGTAAGGGTAAAAGTGGTTTTTTAATAAATATAGGAACATCTTTTAGGGACAAAAAAATGAAAGGTGAAGATCTTTTCGAGACGAAAGAAGTAATATTTTAACTTCACTATTACTTTTATTAAACAGAGGCAAAGACAAAATTTGAGGCGGGGATGATTAATTCTTTTGTGAAGGAGAGAAATGGGATCAACTTGAAAGGCATGACTAAGCACGAGCTGTGGTGGAGGAATGGAACACAAATTCCATTGCGAACTTCACTCTGACCAATCTTTATCTTTGTAATAGAGTCTTGTATCACACAACAATATCGCTAAAAATTACCCCCTTCGTCCTATATTTAACTTCCCGGTTTGACCAGAGTTCATTTTTAAGGAGGGATAAAATTGTATTGATTTTCCCAAAATGCCCCTAACTCTTCTACTCCTTCCAAAATCTCTCCTGTAGAGTAGAATACACATCAACGAGAGGCACCTAATCACACTCTTAAAGAAAAACAAAATCCAAAACAATTAAATTAAAATTAAAGTGCGTCTTGTAAATAATTCTAAATTGGAAAAAATGGATTCTTGCAACACTGACCAAGGTGACAAAATTGAAACAAATCTAAACCACAACCAAATGGAAACAAATCTGATTCTTGCAGCGTGGCACAAAATTGTATCAATTTCCTGCAACGGCGTCCCCAATCCAAGTGACTTCAGGGGCACCCCATTTCAAGATCTGTGACAGAGACTTCTCCAGAGCTTGTCAACCATCATTGAAGTTCATCAATTTTTGAAAACATCAAAGCTTTGTCATCGTTAAAAATCAAGTTCGTTATTGCTAAGTCTGCTACCCCTCACGTCGTTTTAGCCTAATAAACTGGAAGATGAAATTATTATTTTTAAAAGAACTAAAGATGAAGACGAAGAGAGAAGATGGAGAGAAAAGGGACATCTCCTCCCGTGCAAAAATAGTCAAAGGCGAAAGGGGATGTAGATCAGATCTAAGGTTCTTGGTTGAATAGAAGTGCAAAGAATAGAGGAGGTGAGATGATTAGATAAGAATGGGGGTGGGGGGGTTATTGATTGAATGTGGTTGGTAGTGGTGGGAGGTTGGAGAATTAAGTGTAAGGGTATTTGTGTCTTTTGATAAGGAAAAATTTACTTTTTTTAGAAAGTGAGAAGCTAATTTTAGGACGACCTGAAAAAGAAACTGTCAAGTTAATTTTAGGACAGAGTAAGATATCCAACATAAATTAGCTACAACACGAGCACCATGCGGCAAACTAATTGTAACAAGTGTCATAGATTCAATATCAGATAATTTAATACTCATGAACGCCGATCATATGATGAGAAGCACCAATAAGCCAATAACCCGTAGGTGCGTGCAGAGGTAGAGTAGTGTTGCATATCGCCGTCGCCTTCTTATTGAAGTTGAATGGCCAAAGCCACAATGCTTGAATTTCTTCAACTTTGTTAGGCCTTTCCACAAATTGTGTTCTCCCAATTTAGTGTAGAGAACAATTCAGCTGCAATCTTGTTCAGATTAGGAAAAATTGATATAAATACCCCCAGAAATTCAAAATTTTACGATAATACTCCCAAATTTAATAAAAGACTCTGGGGCTCCCAATTAAATTATAAGTTTACATTACTACTCCCATTGTGCCTAATCAGCTTTTCTTACGCTTACATGCAAGTAATTATGTTTAGTTGACATCTTAGTTATTTTTTTGTTTTAATAAGAGGAAAAAATTCTATAAATACTTTCTAAAATTCAAGATTTTACAATAAAACTCTCAAAACCAAATAAAGACTCCAGTACTCTAAAAAATATCTTATTTTTACATGTTACAATGTTTCATAAAAGTGGTGTGACTCTAAAAAATACTCCCTTTAAAAAACTAATATAGTAATACAAAATACCCCTCCGTCCAAAAATTATCTTCCCATTCACTGTTAAGAGTATTAACAAGATCAAATTTTATTTACTTTGCTTACCTATTTTAATTATATACTTGATAAAATAATATAATTATATCATTACTAGTTTTATAAATCTTATGATGTAGTTTTTAGATATATTATTTATTCTTTGATTTCACGCCACTTTTATGAAACATCGTAACACGTAAAAGGAAGATATTTTTTAGAGTACTGGAGTCTTTATTTGGTTTTGTGAGTTTTATTATAAATTTTGAATTTCAGGGAGTATTTATATAATTTTGTTCTCTTATTAAAACAAAAAAAACAACTAAAATGTCAACTAAGCATAATTACTTACATGTAAGCTTAAGAAAAGATGATTAAGAATAATGGGAGTAATAATGTAAACTTATAGTTTAATTGGGAGTACTAGAGTCTTTTATTAAATTTGGGAGTATTATTGTAAAATTTATATCAATTTTTCCTTCAAATTATGGCATGAGCAGGAACCAGTCAGAAAGAAACTACAGAATTGACGATAATTTTCCACTGACCACATATGAAACTATGGTAGCGAATGGAATTAAATTAGCAGTATCACCTTTTGGCACAATTCAGCAAATTGAAACTGACAATATCACCACTGACCGCGATCGAAACTATTGGTTGCACAAAAAAAGGAGTCGTCGAAGGTAGATAGATATCGTGCAGCAACAGTCAACGCTCGACGTAACAAATGACGAGTGAAGCAGAGTATAATTTGCAATAGGATCAGAGCAACATGCAACGATCAAACAAAGAGAAAACCAAAAGATTTTAACGGCTATGAGAGCTGGAGATTAGTGAGAGAAGTCGAAGATATTGAGGATCTGGCTCCGATACCATTTAGAAACTTGGCATTAATTGTTTTGCATAATCTGGTATATATAAAAGTATAAATATGAGCTCAGTACCAAGCCCAACACATGCGATTCATCCCCAAAATACATACTAAACCTATTTTCAAGAAATAACCGCTAAAATGATGAAATTTAGAATGTGGTAGAGATCATTGGAATAAGCCGGAAGATACTTCGGTTGAACCACATTAAAAGACTGAATCCAATCGATTACGTAATTCAAAAGCTTATATACCAATTGCCCAACTGCATATATTCCCAACTTGTAGTGATTACTTTTTAACACAAAAGTATTCCTAGCTTGTACACTTGGCTCAAACTTTTCTTGATTTTTGAGTTTTAACACAATAGTTATCTAATAGCAGCATCACGTAACAAGATTTTTTTTTACTTATGACCTACAACTACTGCAAAAAAATGAAAAACTTTTCGTGATGAAAGACGTAATCGACCCTTTGTTTTATTTGTCTTATTAAACGACATAATGCTTGGTGATAAATATATATTTTGAGCAGCATATTCCAGCCAACTTCATGAGATGGACAAGAATTGAAAGCAAATGTGGGGTAGTGAAGGATACAGCCGGAAGGGAATGGCCGATGATGATCCGTGGTGAGACGAGCAATTGGTTTGGAACGGGGTGGGGACACTTGCACCTTCACCTACAACTTCGACGAGAACGAACTTAACAGTAACCACGGCTGGGTGCTCAGATTTGCAGTGAAGAAACAAAAGCTCCTTTCAGTATGTGCTGTTTGATGACCTGTTGTGCTTTTCATTTGCCTCTTTGTGTCATGTTTTAGGGTATTGAGGATGACCCTCATTTGGTTTGAGTTTATCTTTTGGTTAATTTTGATCCTCAAGATTAGCTAGAATAATTGTATTTGATTTTATTGTTGATTTTTGGGATTTAACAATTAGCTGTTTTTGAAAATTAGCTTTCCGTGAGTTTATATCACCAATTGATTCTTGTTGATGTTAGGAACTGGAATCGTTTAGTTTGATTTGAAAAGTATATTCTACTCCATAATGAAATTTGTTTAAAAGCAAATGAAAGAAGTAAAGTTTAGTTTGCATCTTTGTGATGATTACAAAAAGAAAAAACGATAGAATTTTGTCCTTCATATTTATTATTTTCTGTCCTAAATTTAGTTAATTGTTTATTATTCATAGGGTTATACTACATTTATATTTTTCTGTATTTTTGTTATTCATTTGATAAAATAATAGAATCGTGTTGCTCATTGTTTCATAGATCTTTTGATGTGGTTTTTTTAATATACAAGTTTTATTTTAAAATTTCACTCCAATTTTTAAATAAATTGGATGCAAAATAACTTCAGTAAAATTCAACATTGTAAACCAAAACAAACAATTTGAATTAGGACACATGGAGTAAAAAAGTACACCATGTTAGGTGGTGTGGTGTAATTTTGTCTATGCTAAGGGCTACCTTAGTACCCGTCACTACTGAGATGAAGAACTAAAAAAGAGGAGAGTGAAAGACAGTCAGCAAGTTCGTGCGGTGTGATTGTCTTCTTTTTTTTCACTAACCAAACAAAAAAAGGTTTTCTCGGAGTTTACTTTTCTTTTTCCTGCCAAAATTGACGAACCAAACACAGTGTAAAAGAAAATTCCTTTTGTGTATATTTCAATACCCACTAATTTTATAGCGATATAAACATAGTAATTACATTTGTTTTAAAAATCAAATGAATAATGCTAGGGTGCATATCTTGCCATGTATGAAGCTATTAGTATGATCCATATCTTTTTTAAATCTACCCATATTCAAAACATCCAAAAACTAAAAAAATAAAATTAAATAAAAAAATACCTTGAGGAAGGAAGACTTCTTCGCCAATTGAATTCTGGGGTCTTCTTCGCCCGACGCCGACAATTCAATTGGCCATATGCACCCGATTCTTATTGCGGAAGGAACGACCCGAGAATTGAAGTAGCTAGCGCACATCTCAGATGGTGTGAGAGTAGGAAAGGGGGCCGGATCCTCTATCCCAATTTGGGTGTCCCATTCCTCTATCCCACATTTATGTGACTGCCATATGGCATATTTTTTTTTGAAGGCTCATGTGGCATATTATTATTTAATAATAAAAGGCAAAATGGAGTTAACTACTCCGTTAAGAATTAAATGCAAAAAACAAGAAATGCTACTCTGCTAAGTGTTACTCCGTATTCAATACTGGGTATATCTTTTTTTATAGTTTTCAAATTTAAAAATATTAATTTTGATTTTAAAAAATAACTTTTTAATTGTACACTTTTTATAATTTTAAATTTATGGTTAAAGCTAAATGGTTAGAATATTTTCATGTCATGGAGAATAAACAAAATTTTCAATACATATATGCAACTCTTTTAGCACAGCAAATTGAAAACATATCCTTTAATATAATAAAGGAGACTCGGATGCACAGAAATTCGACATTTAGCATGTCTATGTGGCAAAATTTAAACATGTCAGCACGCCACGTAATATCCAAGTAAACCAGCG